GCCTTGGATCCAATAACTCGCCCGACGCTCGGAGGAACGCGCAACTGCCAGTCAGTGAGCAGTGAGCGCCTCTGGGCCACTCACTGCTACCCGACTGGTATTAGCGCGTGCCTTCGAGCGTCGGGCGAGTTATTGGATCCAAGGCCTCAATTAAAATCTAGAAATTGGAATTCTTCCTACTTTTAAGTAAACAATTCTGTAGAATTAATTTGTTTGAAAAATCTTGATTCTTATGGAAAAATAATAATGCGATTAAATATTTATTTAAAAATGAAATTATTGATGTTTTCAAATAATTTTACAATGAAAGAAATTCATAAAAAATGTAATAGAACATTTTTTTTTGAGTTTAATAATTTTTAGAGTGAATCAGAATATTCTTTACTTTTAGGGAAAAAGTCAAAATTTTGTCTGAAAATCAGGAAAAAGTCAAAGAAAAACAAAATTAATTTTTTGTGACAACTCGGTTTTTTTTCTTGCTTCTCTATTATAAAATTAATTTTTTATTATCATCACTAAAAACTTAAGCACCAGAAAAAATTTGATTTAAATCAAAAGAATCAGATTTAAATATAAAAAGTCGGATTTTTATGAACAAAAAGTTTTGAACGTTCAAATGAACGAAATATTTTTTGTTAAAAATATTTTCATAGATTATTGATTACAATTAAAATTAAAAACTCAAATTTTACATTTAGAAACATTATAATTAATTTGCTTAATAGTGACGCAAAATTATAGTAATAAAAATTTAATTTGAAGAAGAAATAAATAAATTTCGTTCATTTGAACGTTCAAAACTTTAACCTCCTGGATTTTTAAAAAGAAAATATGATTTTTAACAGTTCTGTCCCTCAATTAAAACTTTCGCTATTTTTGAAAAACTTATCACTGTTTCTAGCTGAAGCTAAAAAAAACACCGCAATTACAAAAATCACTAAAAAATATTAAATAAAACTCGAGAAAAATAACTTTCAATAAAAAAAAAATCAATACCATAAAAAATTGCGTATTAAATATAGTAATAAATAAGAACACTTTTCCCTGAGTGCAAAGATAGAATAAATTATGACATAAAATTTAAATTGAGCTATTAATATAAAAGAGGGAGAATGAGAGAAAAAAAAATTGAAAAATATAATTAGAAAGTAGGTGAAAAAAAATGTGATACAAAAATCAAGTTCAATGTGACTTAAATAACAGGGTCGTACGTACACGATTTTATACAGGTAGTGGAGAGAAATAATGTATTGGTGTATTATATGTACATCAACATGCATGTATTCATGTATGAATTTATGTATGTATGTATGTATATAATAATAACGGTGTTGGCTGTACGGCGTCTAGTCTAGCCAAGCCTAACCTGACCTAACCTGACGTAACGATGTATATTTATACAACACAGCTGGAACGAAGTAGGGGAGTTTACCAGTCAGCTGATCGAAGCGCTGGAGGGGAATTTCATGGAGGGGAGGGCAAACCTTTCTTCTTCAGCTGGTTGAGATAAATGTTTGCATTACATTCAAACGTCACATTTGTTGTCTTATCGTTGCATATTATTACATAACATATATGTATATGTAATATATCACAGATTACTGTGCCTTCAAATTTTTATTTCAACTTTTTTTTTCTCCCCTTTTTCCTATTATTTATTGACCATTGATCTTTATTACTTCCTATAGAGAAGCATTTTTTTTCTTTTTCCTATTTTATAAATAATTATAATTAACTATAATAATCTTCGTATTTAATTCTTTCATTCTGTCTGTCCACACTTTAAAGTTAGTTTTTTTGTGTATGTTTTTGTTTCATAAACAACAATATTCACCACAAGAATTCAATTATTTTAAAAATGAATTAAATTTTTCGCAGAAATTCAATTATATTTTAAAAAAATTGTGGTCAACAATTCAATTATCTTAAGAAATAAATAACAATAATCTTCAACAAAGTTCAATTATTTTGAGGAATTTTAATAAAATTCATTGCAAAATTCAATTATTTTCGTAAATAATAGTATTCATCACAAGAATTCAAATATTTTCAAAAATTTTAATAAAAATCATGGCAAAATTTCAATTATTTTCAAAAAATTTTCATACTTCGATGGTTTTCAATATTCTACTATTTTAATAAAATTTACCGAAAAAATTTAAATATTAAACAAAAGTTTTTAAAAAATTCTACACAAACTTTCAATTATTAAAAAAAAAAAAAATTTACATTTATTCAATTATTTAAAATAGAATTTGCATAATTTTTTTTCGCAAAAATCAATTATTTTAAAATTTGCCATTAAATTCTTCGCAGTAATTCAATTATTTTCAAAAATTATTTTAAAATTTGTCATTAAATTCTTCGCAGTAATTCAATTATTTTCAAAAATTTTAATAAAATTCATTGCAAAATTTTAATTATTTTCAAAAATTTTTCATAATTCAATAATTTGTATATCAATTATTTTAATAGAAATTCTCAAAAGAATTCAATTATTTAAAAACAATATTTTGATTGGTGTTTCTTAAATCGATGTTCTTTATATTTCTAATATTTTATCAATAAATTGTATTTAAAGTTATTTATGAATATGTGTTGTATTTAGAAATTATAAAATTGTTTATAAGTACTCTCTAAATTTGAATTAGTACAAATTTACTTGAAATACACTATTATACTCGATTATAAATAACAAATATTTTGAAAATTAGTATCCTAAAAATGGACCTTGAAAAATATTATTTTGGACATGAACAAAAAGTTTTGAACGTTCAAATGAACGAAATATTTTTTGTTAAAAATATTTTCATAGATTATTGATTACAATTCAAATTAAAAACTCAAATTTTACATTTAGAAACATTATAATTAATTTGCTTAATAGTGACGCAAAATTATAGTAATAAAAATTTAATTTGAAGAAGAAATAAATAAATTTCGTTCATTTGAACGTTCAAAACTTTAACCTCCTATTTTGGACCTTGAAAACCTTGAAAAGTCCTTGAATTTTTTGTTACATGTATTTACGAATTTCTTTAATTGTAAAATTATTCGAAAACATCAATAACTTTTTTTTTAAATAAATACACTGGGGTCAAAAAGTTTCAGTACATTTGTATTGATTACTGTTAAGTGCTCGCTTCACTTAAAATTCAAATATTTCTGTAAAGATGGATGTAAGAGCTATCAAAGTAGAATCATTTTAAAGTTTAATAAATTTAGAGTCAAGTAGGCTAAGATATAACCAATTTAATAGTGTAAATATTAAAAATATAATTCTTTAAAGTTAGATATTTTTTTATGAAAATTGCGATTTTGAAATCTGGAATTCAAGCGTACGCCAATTGAAGAAAAATTTTTTTTAAGTTTTGATAGTTGCACAATAAAAAGTACAAATTTCATTCTTTAATTCTAGACCAAAATCATTCACATATATTGAGTATTTTCTTCAAATTCTATAAAAATAATATCTCTTGCTCTAAATTTTTCGATGAATATAAATAGCAAATTCGTCGTTTTCATTCACTTGTTCTATCAAATAACCACACTTTTGAAAAATATAGAACCTCTTCATCTTAGGAAATTTAAGTTATTTACATGAAATTTATCCCTCTTCTTATAATTTTACAAATTTTAACTCTATCATTATTCCTTATTTTCATTCTAGGTGTCTATTTTTTATTTTTCAATAAAAAAAAGGTGCATATTTTTCAAAAGTGTGGTTAATTGAAAAAACAAGTGAACGAAAACGACGAATTTGCAATTAATATTCTTTGAAAAATTTCGAGAGCAAAGGAAGTTTATAGAATTTGAAGAAAATACTTAATATATGTGAATTATTTTGGTCCAGAATTAAAGAATGGAATTTGTACTTGATATTGTGCAACTATCAAAGCTTAAAAAAAAATTTTCTTCAATTGGCGTGCGCTTGAATTCCAGATTTCAAAATCGAATTTTTCACGAAAAATCTCTAACATTAAAGAATTATATTTTCAATATTTACACTATTAAATTGGTTATATCTTAGCCTATTTGACTCTAAATTTATTGAACTTTAAAATGATTCTAATTTGATAGCTCTAACATCTATTTTTACAGAAATATTTGAATTTGAAGTGAAGCGAGCACTTAACAGTAATCAGTACAAATGTACTGAAACTTTTTGACCCCAGTGTATTTAAGAAATATTATTTTTTCATAGGAATTAAGAATTTAAAAAATTTCAAATTCAAATCTTTTTAAATTCAATAACTTATAAGAAATTATCTTAAAAAAGTTATTCTTAGAATTTTTTTTATTATGACTTTTTTAGATTATAAGATTTCTCTTGTTAAGGACTTTTTCGTTCGTCCAAATTTTAAATTACAAATTTATAAATTGAAATAATTTATAAATTTGAAATTCCTGTAAAAAAAAAATTAATAAGTATTAAAATATTTTTATTTAGAAAAATTATTTAGTTTTTAAAAAATTGAATTTTGAAATCAGTGAAATGTCAGGAAATTTTTGTGTCAAAACTAAATAAAATAAACGACTGATGTTTCAACTTTTTTTAAATCTTCAATCGACTGAAACAAATTTTTCTGCCCCTTATAGTCGATTTGAGGCTTGACTATCGTCAAAATATAACTACAAAAAATAAAGAAAGTTGAACTTTCTTTTCCCAAACACAGAAAAAATATAAATTTTTTTCACAAAAAAAAAAAACGATAGACAAAGTTTGCTTATTATTTATAGGGAGGAAGACACTTTTTTTATATATGTGACGCTCCACGAGAAAAGGGACCTTATGACAAGAGTAAATAAGGTCCCTTTTCTCGTGGAGCGTCACATATATATCTAGGTATAGATATAATATTCTTTGTTTGTTTGTGCGTGATATGTGAGAATATAGTGTAGAAAATGACGTGGAAAATATTTGGAGAGGAAAATGGATACGCTTGTGTTATTGTATTGGAGGAAAAGCATTAACAGGAACGTTTGGTACATGATTTCAGGGGACCGGCATGGAGAAGGAGAACTCCGCGTCGGGTGGCAGCGGAGGCGGCGGGGGTGGTAGCGAGGCAACGGCGACGCCGGGCGCCACCTCTGCCTCCGAGAAACTCCAGGCGGACCAAGCCAACCCCTTGCTCGATCCTGCCGCCCTTTTTGGTGGTAAGTCCACTCGCAAGAGCTATTTTCTCATTTTCATCCCTTCTTTGCTCTTTGTTCTCTCTTCTCTTTCTCTCTTTATTTCTTTATTTCTTTCTTTCTTTATTCTTTTATTCTTCTTTCCAATTTCAACCCATTTTTTATTTTTTCCTTTTTCATTATTTTTCCCTTGTTTTTCATTTTTTTCTCGTTCTTTATTTTTTTTTGCGTTTCTTTATTTTTCACCAATTTTTTCACTTTTCTTTAGTTTTTACATTTCTTTATTTTTCACCTATTCTTTAATTTTTATTCTTATTCTGTATTCTTTCCTGTTTCTTTATTTTTCAACTGTTCTTTAATTTTTTCTCGTTCTTTATTTTTTATTTTTCACCTGTTCTTTATTTTTTTTTGCGTTTCTTTATTTTTCACCAATTTTTTCACTTTTCATTAGTTTTTACCTTTCTTTATTTTTCAGCTGTTCTTTATTTTTTGTGTTTCTTTATTTTTCACCTATTCTTTATTTTATCCTCGTTCTGTATTCTTTCTTGTTTCTTTATTTTCCACCTGTTCTTTAATTTTTTCTTGTTCTTTATTTTGTTCTGTTTCTTTATTTTTTTATTTTTCTTTAATTTTTCGCGTTTCTTTATTTTTCACCAATTTTTTCACTTTTCTTTAGTTTCTACATTTCTTTATTTTTCACCTATTCTTTATTTTATCCTCGTTTTGTATTCTTTCCTGTTTCTTTATTTTTCAACTATTCTTTAATTTCTTCACGTTCTTTATTTTTTATTTTTCACCTGCTCTTTATTTTTTTTGCGTTTCTTTATTTTTCACCAATTTTTTCACTTTTCTTCAGTTTTTACTTTTCTTTATTTTTCACCTATTCTTTATTTTATCCTTGTTTTTTTATTTTTTCCCCTGTTTTTTTATTTTTAACCTGTTCTTTATTGTTTTTCGTTTCTTTATTTTTCAATAATTTTTCCTTATTTTCTGCTGTTCTTTAATTTTTCTTTGACCTTTTCTTTATTTTTCTCTTTTTCACTTTGTTTTCTCAATGTTCTTTATTTTTTCTCATTTTATATTTTGTTTCTTTTCTTTATTTTTTCTTTGTTTCTATAGAATTTTTACTTTTTCCAAATTTCTTCCCCTCTTTTATATTATTCTTCTTTATTTTTCTCCTGGTTTTTTTTTCCTGTTCTTTGTTTATTTTTGTTTCTTTTTTCTTTATTTTTTCTTTTGAATATCTTTTTCCTTTCTTAATTTGTTTCCGTTTCTTTATTTTTTTCCTGTTCTTTATTTTTTCCTTTTTTTTTATTTTTTTATTTTCTGTTCATTTTTTTATTTCCCTTTTTTATTTTCCATTCTTTCCTTTATATTTTCCTTTTGTCTCTTCTTTCATTCTCCTTTTTTTCTTCCTTTTTTATTCGCCCCTTTTTCTTTTTTTACTCCCCTGTTCTTTCCTTCGTCCTTCCCTTTTACTTGCACGCGTTTCGTAACACTCTCTCACACCCCTTTAACAATTTAAATCAATGAGGTCGACAAAATTATTACGCTTTTAACCACTTTCTATGTTAAAAGAATTAACCGAAGAAAAGCGAGGGAAAATTATATTATGAATCGCAACGAAAGTGAAACGAAAACTGATTTATTTTCAGGAAATTGATTTTTAGCGCTTTATTTTATTTACTATAGTAATAATTATTATATTATTCTTCTTATTATTATTCTATTGTTATTAATTTATTTGTTCGTAAACAAAACAAGCTCTTTTATTATTTTTTATTTATTATTATTTTTCTTTTCATTGTTATTAATTTTATTACTAATTATTATTATCATTTTTATTTATATAATTTATTTTCTTATAGTTTACAAGTCTTTTTTTGTAGTAAATAAAGTTTTATACCAAAAAAACACTTGTAAATTATATGCCTGCTTTTAAATATTATTTATTACTAATTTTTCGAAAAAGGAAAGCAGAATCAAAAAAATTTTCTTTCCTTTTTTAGAAATAATTAAAAATATAGAGAAATATTCGAATCAGCCGCTTTTTTTCTCCGCATGATGAGAAAAAATCAATCGATACAAACTACTATACATTGAGGAGAAATAAAATTATTTTTGAAAAGATGTTTAAATTTCTTTCTTCTATAAAGTCTCAAAAAAGTGTGTCTGACGAATCACAAGGCACAAACCTGTTCTTCGAGACAGGCGAAAAAGTGATTAATGGCACGTATTAGCTACTTTTATCGCATGCGGTAAAAATGATCATCCCATCTATAGATTCCTTTTTTTCGGCTACCCTTTTTTCTAGAATCACCTTTATTTTATTTTTTTCTCTCTTTTTTTTCGTTGTTTGTTAGAAATCTAAGGAAACGAGTCGAGAATAATAATTTTCGTCTCGTCCTTGACCGAACGTCATTTTTGTTCGCCTGATTCTTTTCTCCCAATATTTATAACGATTTAGATTTTTATTCCCTTTTTTTCTCAATTTTCGAAATATTTTTTTAGCACACAAAGACTTTTTTCGTTTATTATTATAAATTTTATTTTTCGTTTATTAAAACAGAGATTAAATATTATTATAGATAAAAAAGCGTCGCTTAAGTTTACAACGTTTATGATCAACGATTGAGAAAAAAAAAGAAATATTTTTTCCCCCCAACAAAACTGAAAAATAATTTATTTGATTCAAATAAACGATTACTTGTTTCAATATTTATTTGCATCAAATAATTTTTAATTACCATAGTTTTTTCTAAGGATATCAAATTAAGACAAAAAAACTTATCAAAATGTTGCTTCGCAACACTTTTGATTCGTTTTTTTGTCTCAATCAGATATCCTTAGAAAAAGTGTCACGTCAACTAAATGGTATTTGCTTCAAATGTTGAAATTATTGATTCAAATACAATTTATTTGCTTCAAATACTGAAATTATTTGAATTAAATACAATTTATTTTATTTAAATAAAAATTTATTGATTGAAATAAATATTTATTTGATTTAAATAGAAATTATTTGATTCTAATTAATATTTATATTTGATAATAATAGACAAGTAAATCGATTATTTGAATCTACTAAATTTTTTTTCATTGTAATAATATTTTTTATTCAAATATATTTCTTTTGTAAGTTATCGATCGAAATACTATGCGAAATATTTTTCATACAAAAATTGATATAAATTTAAATAGGAAAATACTTTTTGTTCTAAATATTGTTAATTATAAACGTTATGAACAATCAGATTCGAATCAAATACGAAATAGCTTATTGTCATGTTTATTATCAAATTATTAAATTAAAATTTGAATGGGAGAAAAATAAAAAGTGATTAAATTCTATACATATTTATTCAGAGCGCAAATCTAATATTTATCTATCTACGAAAAAATAATTTCTGAATTGAATAAAATTCATTTTGAATGGAAAAATTATACTAGCGAATTAATTAATTGAATTGTAAAAGTTTTCAATTAATTATTTAATTGAATTGTAGAATGTTTCAATTAATTAATTTAATTGTAGAATGTTTCAGTTAATTAATTGAGTTGTAGAATTTAATTAATTAATTAAATTATTATATACTTAAAAGTGAAGTTCACAACGCTTATAATCATCAATTTAGAAAAGAAATATTTAATGCAAATTTTTAGACATTTTCTTTTAAAAACTTGGTAACAAATTTTTTTGATCAATTATTTTAAACAAAAAAAAAATTTGTTAACAGAAAAATTTTATTATTTTCTAGCTGAAAAGTATTTTTTCTTCAATCGCTTATTATAAATGTTATAAACTTCATCGACGTTGAGACTATTAATTATCGAATTGTACAATTTATCAATTAACTAATTATTTGATTTGAAATTTTTTTTAATTAATTAGGTAATTAATTTCTAGAATTATTTAATTAATTTTAATTAATTATTTTTCTATTCCAAAATTCTAAAATCAGTTTTTTAAATTAATTCAATGAATTAATTGAATTGTCGAATTTTTAAAATTATTTACTTAATTTAATGATTTATTTTCTATCATTTTTTATCACATTATTCTAATCGAATTGTTGAATTTTTTAATTAGTTAATAATTTGATTAGTCGAATTTTTAATTAATTATGTTTCTATTCTAAAATTCTAAAATTAGTTTTCTAAATTAATTCCACGAATTAATTAAATTGTCGAGTTTTTTAAAATTATTTACTAAATTTAATGATTCATTTTTAGCATTTCATCAAATTATTTAATTCATTTATTACTTAATTGAATTTTTGGAATTTTTAATTAATTAATTGGCCTTTATTTTCGTTATCTGAATGTTTTTTTTGCATTCTTTGTAATTTTTTTTTCTATTTAACTTGTGAATTTCATTCAGGTCGTGAATTATTTATTTCTAGACAGATAAATATTCGTTTGCGAGCGTTAAATAAATATTTAGCATTTGATGCTTTTTATTTTTCCCTTTCATTGTTGTTTTTATATGCTTCAAAACAAAAAGTGAATTCTTTCAAAAAATCATTTGAACGGAAAATCTTTGTATTCCGAGTGCAAAACTATATCATACACATGGTATTGATGGAAAAAATTTCGTTTTGAAATATTGTTTGAAATTTCCCTTTTTCGCTCTTCAGTGCTTTTGAAGTTTCATTGTCGAATAACAAAAAAAAAAAAATGATTTGAAGATTTTCAGCCTTGTTGCGAACTTTTACTTTTTTCAAAAAAAAGGGAGAGGCTATCTCTTATTTTTTTTTGAAAAAAGGGCTGAATCTTTTTTTTTTTTGAAAAAAGAGGGATTGTGTCTTTTTGTTTTGAAAAAGAGAGACTCTATCTCCCGGTGAAATCTCACTGACAGAAAAAAGGGCTTTTTTGATAAAACAGAGGCTGTTCTCTCTTCCTTGAAAAAAAGTGAAGTTCTTTTTTGCTTCTTTACAATGGTGAATATATTTTATTGAATTTTTTCGCTTCATCTTTGTTTTCGCTAATTCTATATAGTCTCTTTCGGTGTTTTCTGGCGTTTC